GGAGGAGGCAGCACCTGAGCTTCGCAGGGAGACCTGGGGAGCGCACCCCTGGCAGCTGGCAAAAACATAGCCTTGGAGCTGTCAGGGCTCAGGCTTGGGCACAAGAAGCAAGTGGTTAAGCAGGACTGGGCATCGGATGTGAGGTGAGCTGGCTGCGGTGGGAGGCAGGTGGGCAAGCAGGCAAGGGTCCCTCCTGCAGGTGGCAGCCAGCCCTGGCATGTTCTCAACCAGAATGATGGGGCCAGAACCCCATTCTGACTGCAGGGTTGGGGGTAGATCTGAGGGGCATGACCAGAGGCCAGAGAACAGTGAAGAGGCAGGCAGGAGAGGAGGAGGGGATCGGTCTGGATGGGCAGAGGGGTGGCCTGCCACACCCCTGGGAGGGGAGGCCTTCACAGAAGCCTGGCTGTGCAAGCGACAGAGATGGATAGACAGCTGGAGGCGGGGTGAGGTTCAAGGAGGGTTTTTAAAGATGAGAGACATTTGGGCTGAGAGAGGAGAGAGCAGAGATTCTTAGAGAAGCAGGAGAGAAGGATGAAACTGCTGCTGGGGAGGGTGGAAAAGGGGTTGTTTGGGGACCCATGAAGGGATTTGGGGCAGCACCGAGGTTCAGCAGAGGCGGGAACTTGAGATCATGGCAGAGCTGCGGGCGCCGCTGGCTCCCAGCAGGTGGAAGGAGATGTCAACTTAATCCTAGCTGGGTGTCTTCATTCCTGCTCCAAATGCACAGCTTTTCCTGCGCTGGTTACCGGGTCTGATGGTTGTTGGCATTCTTTACTAGCAAACGACAGAGCCAAACTTCCCTGAGATCCTCTTAATTGCCATCAACAAGTATGGAGTCAGCCTCATCGATCCCAGAACCAAGGTGAGCAGCGACAGGGAGGAGGAGGCAGGCCAGACTGCTCCGGGGGCTCCTCGCCCGGTGTCCCTGCCAGCTCCCAGCCCCGTCGTCTGCCCTCTCGGCCCCCCTTCTTGAAAGGCTGTCTGGTTGCTCTGTCTACCTCCTAACCCCTTGCTTGCTCCGTCAAGATGGCTCTTCTAGAGTTACTCACAAACACTCTGTTACTAAACCCAAGAACTCTTTTCAGTACTGGGTCTTTCAGCATCATCGGACTCTATCATCCATTCTTCCTGAATGCTCTCTGCCCACCTTGGTCAGGGTGGCAGGCTGTGCTGGGGGGACCGAGGCTCGTATTTATGGGCCAGAGCAGCCCTCACCAAGGGGCCCAGGAAGGACAGTCTGACCACATGCTCAGGCTGTTGGCGATAGGTGCCAATGGCCACCGTCTTACCTTTGGCTTCGTGTGCCCACTTTCCTGGTGTTCCTCATCTCTCTCTTGGCCGTTCCTCTTGGACCTTTCCATGGGTCTCCTCTCTTCCCAGCCCATAGATATTTCGTCCCCAAAGGTTCTGTCCTGCCGCCTTCTTGTCTCTCTCCTCAAACTTTCCCTGGACCTTCTCCTCCAGGACCACAGCTTCAGTTCCTTCAGGCCTCCAACATTTCCTATTCCCGTCCCACATCCAGCCCAACAGTTTCCTGGATTTCCTCGGGCACCCTGCCTGCTGGTTGCAGCCAAGGCCTGGAGGGGAAGGTGCCCGCTCCCCACAGCAGCTCCGTGGCCGAGCTGGCCTCTCCCTTCTGCTCCTTTTCTGAGGGCCCAAGGCCCCTCATACGGGGGGTGTCTGAGGGCTGGAGCTGAGTGGAGTGAGGCCAGAGGATCCAGGTTGTGCAGCTTTGGACTTTCTGCTCCCCTCAGGACATCCTGACTACTCACCCCTTCACCAAGATCTCCAACTGGAGCAGCGGCAACACCTACTTCCACATCACCATTGGGAACCTGGTGCGCGGGAGCAAACTGCTCTGTGAGACGTCACTGGTGAGGGTTCTTCTTTCCAGGCCCCACGGGCTCCCCTGCCTCGCTGCAGCCCCAGGCACTCTCCCAGGCCCTGGAACAAAGAGGGGGAATGTGTGACTTGGCCTGGGGTCAAGATCAAGTGTCAGATTGGGGCCAAGGTCAGGTCAGTTTGAGGCTCAGCTTCAGGCCTGGGGAAAGGGGCTTAATCTGGGGCTGAGAAACTGATCCCTCCTTCAATGAGTGTCTGAATGCCTTCAGTGTCTGGGGAGCGAGCCTTCGGCCCCTGAATTCAACAGTAAAACCATTAGCGATGAGGTCTCCCGTGCTGGGGCTCAATTTTCAATTTCCAAGGCACAGCTCAACTGGTAGAGACATTGCTAGATGTGGGCATCCAGGAGGTGAGGAACCTACAAACTAGGGCCTTAATGTGGGGTTATAACAGCTTGGAACCTTGGACATATGGCTGGACGAATCCCACCCTTCAGCTGTGCAGCTAGGGAGACAGAGTCCACAGCACACCAGGATCTGCCTTTGTCCAGGGTTCTGCCTCGTTTCCTGGGAGCTGTGTTCTAGGTCTGAGTGGGCTGGCCCTGTCCCACTCTGTGCCCTGTGTATCTTCTTGCTACTGTTTCCAGGGCTACAAGATGGATGACCTCCTGACGTCCTATATCAGCCAGATGCTCACAGCCATGAGCAAACAGCGGGGCTCCCGGAGTGGCAGATGAACACCATGGAGGCAGCACCAGCTCTGTTCCTGTTCCCCAGGCAGCTGCTGGCTCAGGCCCATCGGCCACCTCTACAGCTGGGGGAAGGCCTTGGCCATCCGAGCAGGGAGGCTGGGCTGGCTGGCCACCCGTGACTGCACTAGCTTGGACTCTGGCCCTTCCTCCAGAGAGGCGGCCTTGCTGGGATGTAGAACACCCTTCCGGCTGCCCTGAGGCCCCTGGGTTGGATTTGGTCCTGGTTCATAGCGGCCTTCCCAATTGTAAATACCCGTGCCCCTTGCATGCTTCTCTCATCTCAGACCAGCCCTGCCACGTGACCTCCTTTGGCTTTTCTCTACACCCCTGGGTCAGGGAATCAAGAGGACAAACTAGTGCTCCCTGCTGGGAGCAACCAAACCAAACCAACCAAACCAAGAACGCTCAGGCACCTAAGGGCCTGTTTCAGTTCCCCCAAGTCCAGGGCCCTCAGCTGGGGTGAAGGAGGCAGGCCACTTTTATATATTGCGGTGTGAGTGCTGAGCCTGCTTTCTTGGCCACCTCCGGACATAAAGCACATGTTCACCTTCTGGCCCTAGAGTGTCTTTGTTCGGGTAATGGGAGGAGAAGGGAAAGAGGAAGTGGGGACAGGGCCCCGTGTGTGCGTGGCCTGGATAACTCTCTCCTTGGTCTGTGTGTACAGGGCCGAGCTGGTCTGGGTTTGGGGGTAGGGGTGCCTGAGCCCAAGGTGTGCCTGCAAGGCACTTACAGGGACTGGCCGAGACCAGGGCAGGTTGCAGAGGATAGCCAGACCGCAGGTGAGGAACTAAGCGGGCATGGGCGGGGGATTTGGAGGAGGGACCAGCTTCTGAACCTTAACTGAGGCCCACGGAGCCAGAGGGGCTCTTGTCTCCTGCCAGAAACATCTCCCTGGCTCATCAGGAAACCACCAAGAAACCCGAAGAACAATGCTGCCTTGGGCTAAATCCTTACATCCACTGGGTGCCGGTAAAATGTTACTGTGTGACCAGGATGGAACCACCAAGTTGGTCCGTGACCTGGGCGGGTCTGGGGGAGGGGGCTTCGAACAGGGAAGGAGTGATCTGGAGCAGTGGCTGGGAGGAGTGCCTGGAGAAGCGAGGGCAGAGAACCCCCCTGAAGTGGGCGTGCTTGCGATCTGCCTCGGGGCCCCCTGATCCTCAGCAGAGCCAAGTCCTGCTCGCCCTCACACGCCCATGTCTGGGCTCATCCTCCTCTAGGTGCCCAGCCACCCCACAGGGAGACTAGTCCTGTTTTCCCCAGATGTTTGTGGCAGGGAGAGGGGCCGGTTGTGGAAACGGCGGTCCCAGACCAGACTGCCCTGCTTTCTGGGATGATCATGGGGCTGTCCAAGACCGCCCTGTCCCCCAAACGGTTACAGGACTCCTCAGCCAGCCCGGGGCCAATCTGCGCCAGGAGGAAGGCGCCGCAGTGGTCCGCCCTCCACCACCATCACATGGCGGGGGATACTGAGGCCCAGAGGAGAACTGCGAATAGGTGGTGGCCACCTAGTGGAACTCAATTCACTGCTTCTAACATTGTCTGCCAGACAGAAGGGGCTCCGGATACTTGTTCTGGGCTCTAGTTTCCCCTCAAGGCCAAAGGCCACTGGGTGGGCATGGGGTTATGCCCATCATTCCACTGGTGAATCAGCCAACAGCAAGGTATTAGGAAGCATCCCCCTTCACTCTAGATCACAAAAAAAGTGCATGTGGGAAAAAACCCTTCCCCCCAACTCACGCCCATGCCACCTCTGATTTCCCAATTCAGGATAGCATCGCTTGCACACCGATCTCCTAGTCTTTGTCAGCCTGAGTCATCACAGAAGGGTCCAAGGAATGCACGATTTACCTTCTGCATTCCTGAAAAGTTGCCTTTATTTACATGCCGATGTTCACCACAGCTGCTCCATTAGCAGGGAGTACTAGGAAGGGTTAGGATGAGGCAAACCCTGTATCACCCGGACAACAATGAGCTCCAGCTCCAAGACCACAACAGCTGTTTTTCCCTTGCCCGTACACTGGAATTGCATCCTTTATAAAGAGTCTCGACCAGAACGTTCTCCTGAGAGCCTCAAATGCCCTTCTGCGCTCCTTTCCTGACCAGTGCCCACCATCGCCGCCCTGAGGCTCAGAGAGGAAGAATAAGAAGTGAACGAGATGTGGCTAATTCTTGAAGACAGCCCAAAGGAGGACACGCTGGATGTGGTGGAAAACATCATAAAACAGGATTATTGGGAGGACTCCACAGAGGGGGTCTTTTTGGGTTCTGTTTCAGGATGAGGGACCTCTATGGAGGGAAATGATGGTTCATTTGCCGCCAGGCTCTGCAGTTTGGAGGGTGGCCTCGCTGTTGGCCTCCTAGGTGGGTGTTCGGGTGGATTCAGAGGCTTTCTCAGTGGGCATCAGTGGTATAGTTTTCCATGCAGGCACCAGAGATTTGGTGGTTTCCTGGGCCGGCTCTGTTTTGCTGTCCTCCTCCTTGGACCCTGGGTGTTTCCTTTTGCTCTGGTGACGTCTGGGGCAGAGGCTGCTGGAGCCTGAGGGCCTGCCCTAACTTAGGAAGGTATCTGTTCTACGGGTACATTCAAGGCTTCTTGTTTCTCACTTTCTCTCCTTTTGAGGCTTATATTCTCAACATCTATGGGATAGAAAAGAGAACAAACACATAAACAGATCCCTCAAACATCACTCCTCCGGTCTTTGGGGTCATGTGGTCAGATCCTAGTCACCTTTAATGTGTCAGTCCCTCGCCTACCACCTCAGGTTCTTCCCCTCCTAGTTCTCACTATCCAAGACTTTGTGCGAATTTTATCATGGCCTCCAATTTAGCCTGGTGCTGAAGTTTGAGTCTGTTGTGTGAGGTTCTAGTGCCCCATGGAAACCCTCAGAAGATAGAGACTGACATTTTCTTAAGGTTCATGCATTTCACAACCATTGCTTTAGAAAATAAACACTTCTTCTATCAGAATAGCTTTTCATGGCCAGAGACTTTGTCTTTGCTTGCCACTACATACACAGTGCTGCCACACAGTAATTTTTATCTGACCACCTGACAGGAAAAATAGCTGGTGGAGACACTGTCTACTAACGGAGCTAGGAACTTGACTCTTACCGAAGACTAAAAACCAGGTAATATACGAAACCGAGAAAACATCTTAAAATTACCTAACGATTTACAATACGAGGAGGAACTGTGGGGCCAAAATCTAGAAGAAAGTGAGAATCCAAAGCAGCAAGGCCAGAACTTGCTTATTTTTTACCCTGAATGTAATTTCATTCTTGAGGAGACAGCCGCACACGTGAGCTTCATCCCCTGGCAGCGTCACAGCGGGGACAGGGGGCGGGGCGGGGGGGGGAGTTTTTACTGCTCTTCAGTTGAATTTTAGATCAACTGGATTTTAGGGAACAGACACCTATGATACTAGGTTTCTAATTCATGAATGTGGTGTATTGTTCTATTTATTTGGGTCTTCTTTCTCTCAGTAAACATTTGCAGTTTTCAGTTTTTATGTTATAAATGCTATTTAAGATTTTTTAAAGTTTCTAATTACTCATTGCTAAAATATAAACAATTGATTTTTCTGTATATTGATCTTGTATCCTGAGACATTGCTTAATCCACTTATTACTTCCAGCAGGTTTGTTGTTTGATTCGTTAGAATTTTTAATGTAAATAATCACATCTGAAAATCAGGAGTTTTTATTCCTTTATGCCTGTCATTTATCTTATTAAAATAGCTAGGATCTCCAGCCCAGTGTTGAATACAAGTTGTGAGAGCCAGTATCCTTGCCTTATTTCTGATCTTACAGGGAAAAGATTCATTGCATCACCATTAAAAATGATACTGGCATTCGTTTTTTTGTATCTTGGATTAAGGAAATTCAATCCCTTTTCCTAGTTTGCCCAGAACTTTTATCATAAATGGGTGTTGACTTTTGTCAAATATGCTTTTTCTATTTAATGTGGGATTATACTGATTAATTTTCAAATAATTTATCCATCTTGCATTATTGGTATAAACCTTACTTGTTCATGATGTATTAGCCTTTTTACACTGATGAATTCACTTTGCTAACATTTTGTTAAGGATTTCTATGTCTACGTTTGTAAATGACATTGATCTGTAAATTTAGTTCTTGTAATGTCTTCATGAGGTCTTATATGAGATATTGCTGGCCTCAAAGAATCAGCTGGGAAGTATTCCGATTCCTTCCTCTTGTTTTTTTTCTGAGTCAGTATAAGATTAATATTATTTTTAAAACATTTGAATAACCAGTGAAATTCCTTGGGCCAAACCTTTTTATTTTTTTTCTGGTGAAGGTTTTTGATATATGAATTTGATTCTGACAGGTAGTGGGTTATTATAAATTTATATTTTCTCTCAGTTCTGGCAAGTTATGTATTTTAAGGAATGGTCTACTTCATTTAAGTTGTAAAATTTTATGACATAAAAATGTCCAGAATTTTCCTTTTGACATCTAGGATCTGGATACTTCCATCTTTTATTCATCATTAATTATATTAGCAACCTGGCAACCTCTCATCTTGCTAAAAGTTTATCAATTTTATTAAACTTGTCAAAGAACCAATTTTTCACTTTCTTTGTATTTTTCCGATTTCATTGATCCTTGCTATCTTTAGTATTTCCTTTCTTTTACTTGGGGGGAAAATGTACTCTACCTTTTATAGATTCTTAAGGTAGAAACTTAATCAACATTAAACCTTTCTTCATTCTAACATTTAAAGTTATAAATTTCCCTGTAAGTCCTGCTTTAGCTGGTACCCCACAAATTTTACTGTTGTATATGTATTGTCCTTTAGTTTAAAGTATTTAACTTAATACCTAATTTCCCTTGTGATTTATTCCTTGATCAATGGGCTGTTTAAAAATACATTAATTTCCAGGATTTAGAGGCTTATCTAGGTATTTCATTAGTATTTGTTCTTAATTTTGTTGTGGTCACAGAACATACTCTGTAAGATTCCAGTCTTTCAAAATTTACTTATTGAGACTTGTTTTATGGCTTGTCAAGTAATCTATTTTGGCAAATATGTCATGTACATTTGAAAGTATTGTATATTCTTCTAGTTGTTGGGGTTTTGTTTTATATCAATGTGGCTGAAACTGTTGTTCAGATTTCTATATCTTTTCTGATTTTCTTGTGTGTGCTTATTTGTTCTTTCAGGTACTGAGAGAAGACTTTTAAAGTCTCCAACTATGATTTCTCTTTCACTTTTTGTTTCATGTGTTTGGAAGTTCTGCTATTAAGTGCATACATAGTTTTATTTATAATGCCCTCCTGATATACTGACCTTTTCACCATTATGAAATCTGTCTTTGTTTCCAGTAATGTTCCATGTTTTGAAGTCTGTTTTCAGATATTACTTCTTATGCTGATTGCTTACATGGCATGTCACTTTCCCCATCCTTTTACTTTGAATCTATTTGTGTCTTTGTATTTTAAGTATTTCTTTCGTATACCACATATGGTTGGGACTTGCTTTTTTTTTTCTATTTGACAATCTCTACATTTGATTTGTGTAATTAATCCATTTATATTTAATGTAATTAATAAAATGTTTGGATGTATGACTAGCATGTCTCAACTTGTTGTCTATTGTTTTTTTCTGTTATTTTTCTTCGTTTGTTTTCCTCTTCCTGAATCCATCTGCTATAAGATATATTATTCTGCTAGCTTTGAAAAAGTAAGTTGCCATGTTGTGTGAGGGCCATGTGGCTAAGACATGAAGGTAAACTCTAGGAGCTCAGAGCAAAACACTGTCATCAGTGATCAAGAAAACAGGGACGACTTCAGTCTTACAGTTTTAAGGAACTGAATTCTGCCAAACACCACAAGAATGGAAGAGGACTCTTAAGCCTCAGATGAAATCTCAGCCCAGGCCAACTCCTTGGATTTAGCCTGGCGGGACTCTAAGCAGATGACCCATCTAACCCATGCCTAAATTCCTGGCCCACAGAATCTGTGAGTGATACATTTGTATTATTTTAAGCTTCTAGGTTTGTGGTAATTTGTTACACAGCAATAAAAAATAAATATATACAGCAATAGAATCTAAGCACAGAAATGAAATAGTCTAAAAATAAAAATGAACAGTCTCAGTAACTGATGGAATAATATCAAACTGTCTAACATATATGTAGGTGGAATACCAGAAAATGGATAGGGGTAGAAAAATATTTGAAAAATAAAGACTAAAAATTTATCCAATTTGATGAAAATTATGCTCTGACTGATCTAAGTAGTTCAGCGAATGCCAAAGCATGATAGAAACACACATACATACACACACTCATGTATATCAAGGTAAACCATAACCAAATTACTGAAAACCAGTAACAAAAGAAAGCAATCATAAAGTTATTCAGAGAAAAAGTACATATTACAAATAGAGGAACAAAGATAAAAAATGGAAGACATTTTTATCTTGGAAGACTTTTCATAAGAAACTATATAAGACAGAAGATAAAAGGCTGACTTCTTTAAAGTGACAAAAAATGTATCCTGATAAGTACTTTTCCTAAAGCATTGTAGCCACTTCATGTAATGAGTACATCTCTTCGAATTTTCCTTAAAAATTTCTCTCCCATCCATGATTTCCTCGCCATTTCCAAGTTACTTTCGTTTCTTGGCGAGATTACTGTCAAGGGCTCAACTGTGTGCCCCCAAATTCACTATACTTGAAGACAGAGCCTTTAAAGAGTTGATTAAAGTGAGGCAGTTCGAGTGGACCCCAATCCAGTCTGACTGGAGAAGAGACAATTTGGAGCCAGCCAGAGACACTGAAGATGCACGTGCACACGGAGGAAAGGCTGCCTGAGGACGCGGCACGGAGGAGGCCCTCGGCAAGCCAAGGACAGAAGGCGCAGAAGAACCGAACCTGCTGACACACCCATCTTGCATTTCTAGCCTCCATGAACAGGAGATAAGTAAATTTCTGTTGTTTAACCTGTCCAGTCTGTGACATTTTGTTATGGCAGCCTCAGTTTAATCATGTAACTGCTGAAAATAATAAGGAACCTGGAATACAGCCTTCAGACCTCTCACCAGCCAGGAGAGCGAGCTTCAGATCCATGTACCTCAGCGCTACTTGAGAACGCTCCGCCCCTCAAGAGTGTTGGGCAATCTTGGTTTGAACTTTCAGTGTCACAGCATGAAACACCATTGCCTTCCATTATTCCAATTTCTGCACTTATTTTTTCAGAGCCCCCGTGGATCCATTCCTGCCTCTAAGTGTCGTACCATTCAATCACCTGCCACCGTCAGGAGGGTCACTGCCGTCCACAGAAATTACATTAATTCATGAATTTGGGACTTCGCCTGAGGCTCCAGCAGCTGGGTAAGGAAACCGTCCCGTGCACTGCACGCTCCCCTGCTTCCTAACTGGGTTTCCCTTTGCCACTGCACTGGCTTCCCATAACTCACTGTGCGGTTACCTCCTTTTGAAAATTAAAGCTAGCTTCCCTCCCCCTAACTGGCCTATCTCACTTCCTCAGCCCCTGGGTTCTCCTGCTGAATAAGACATTATTTTGGTTTCCATCCTCCTACACAGACAATCTAGCATATTGCTCCTTTATTTGAAACTCATTTGCCACCTCCCGACGGCTTATACGCAGAGCCTAGACCCTAGTCCAGCATTGCAGGGCCTCTGCAGTGTTCTCCCCACCCTCCAACACTCGTTACCCACAGCTGAAGTCCCTCCCACAAAGCACACTCAGCCCTAAGGGCCATGGAAGCCTCTGTCCTGGGCCTGGTGCTCGACCCAGGGTGCGAATTGCTAGACTCTTGTCTGCTTCCTCACTGTTCTCTGTGGGCCACCCTCCATTCTTCAATTATCTTCATTCCCTTTCAGGAGACCTGGCACAAATCGGTTACTCAAGAACTGTGATGAATGAATAGTTGAAGAAATTAAAAATAAATACCATGTCCACAAACTTCCAAGGAGTCTCACTGTTTAGAGACTGAGTCCAAAATGAAGCTTGATGTCAAGGGCACTCCAGAACCCATGCCCAGCTATTCCTCCCAACTTCTTCCTAGTCCCCACCCCTCCATTTCCCAGACTCCCTCAGCTCTTGTCAGAGACACAGAAAGCAGACCCTCTGTCCTAGGGACAATGGGTAGCACTGGGTTAGGTCTCTGTCTTTACCTGTGAAACTGCTAATGCTTTCGAAGACTCTCTCTTTTTGGCTTTCTCTCCACCTGGAAGGAAGCAGACCACCCATGAGCGTTGGAGACCTTTTCCAAAAATAACAATAAACCAAGGCAGAGGAGAAACACTACCCATCAAATTCTCACTTAGGAATTTGTACTTTCCTCCTCTAAAGGATAACTCACAAATGAAGGCATGACGGGCATGAGGAGGTCCACAAAACCACGGTCTCCTCTAGCTAAGATTCCTCTTCCAGGATATACAATCTTGCAGTGCTGTAGCACTGTCCTGTCAAGGATTCGCAAACGTCATTTTCTTGGACAGATAAACACTGTTCTCTGCAAAGGGGCCGTGATTTTCCCAGGGTCACCAACAGCCAAGGGGCAAATCCAGGCCTAAAAGCCAGGCTTCCAGGTTTGCGGACTTGCTCTTTGCACAGCGTCCCGCTATGTTCCGGACAGTCTTCAACCTCTGTCCTTTCTCAGCAGAATCACATTGAATCTGTGGTAACAGGCTTTACCTGAGCCTTAGTGACAGCCCTCATCCGTAAAATACTGCCTTGTGCTGAGGAGGTGGAAGGGGTGTGAGGAGCTGCAGGCAGTATGAGAAGAAATGAAGGGCTCAGACTAGTAACCCTGTCTTCCTGAGAACTTGCCATGGGGGATGGATTAGAGGAAGAGTGTTTAACCGTTTTCTCAACTTTCCATAAGAAATATTTAAATTTTTATTTTGGGAAAAATTCATTTAAAGTTACAAACATATACTTACCAATGAAAATAAAATATGGCAGCAATAAAAACTGCAGAAACACAATCTAGGAGAAGCCACATGAACATATAGTAACCTGGTGTCTGCAAAACAGAAAAGAAATCACTTTAAAAGTCAAAGAACTTTCCAGCTGGAAGGGATTTTTGATCACGTGGGCCAAGTCCCTTGCTCGGCTGTCAGGCCTGGGCCCGAGTGGAGGGGCGGCAGACCCGGTGGGGAAGCTGGTTAGAAGTGCTGGCCTCAGACACAGAGAATACCTGCTGCTGTCCCCTTCCACATGTGGGGGCTCTACAGGGGATAGAAGTTCACACCCTTCATTTCCCTTGACCCTCAACACAGAGGCCTGGGCGAGTCCCAGCGGAGTCACATCGCAAGTCTGCTCTGAACCCAGGACTACAGCCCAAGTCGCTTGAGTTCCTGTGCTCTGTGTTTTCATGGCCTGGCTCCCCAAACCCGGTTGTGCACCCAACTCTGCCAGGGCAGCTTTTAGTAATACAGGTTCCTGGGTCTCCCTGCAGACCGCAGGATTTAGAATTCCTCCGCTTTCAGCAAGCTCCTCAGGTGACACTGAAGCAACCAGTCTGTGAGCCAGTGCAGGGTAAGTGGAGGCAGTCTGGCTTCTCAGCCAGGTGCTCGTGTAACTTGGGGGAGCAGCTTCTCCAAACCTTGAGGGAGTCTGATAAAGCAGTGTTCCCACAGCCTTGAGCCTGGGTGTGACAAACTGCCCCTTGGCCTCGAGTGGGCTCGCATGCGCAGCTCATGCTAGGTTACCTCACTTTTTGGCCTGAGGCTGGCTCTGTTTGTGCTAGTCCTTAAGGCGGTGGGGGCTTCTTACTGTGAGGGAGTGAGGAAGAGCGGGAGTGCAGGCTTGCGGGCGTGAGGGGCGTGCAGACATAGACATGGGCTTGTGGCCTGTGTGACTCCCCCAAATAAAGGCATGTCAAGCATCCCCACGGCTCCACGCATTTTCTTTCTTCTACCTGAGTCATGAGTGGACCTGCCCAGCCTAGGGAGGCTGCAACACAGCCAATATTTAGAAATCACTGTTCTACATCATGATGCTTCAAGTAAGCAGGTTGAAATTATAATTCTCCCTTAACATGGCCCCTCCCCCACACTCCTTGCCTGAGTCGCCCACTTCCCAGAACTCCGTCTCCTGGGCCTCCTGTGTGAGTTTTCTAATTCCCTGCTTTGACTCTCCCTTTCCTCCTCCACTGTCCCCTCTGATCTTACTTGATGCTTACTTGATGCTGCTGATCTTACTTGAGCTGGCACTTTTTATTCTTTCTTAGGCCATTCTGCCCCCATCCTAAGGTCTCTCCTTGGGCTGAATAATAATATTAATAAAAATACTAGTGGTCATAATAATAAGAACTAACAATTAATGAGCATTTACAGAACCTAAGGAAGTGTTCTAAGCACTTTTAGGGTATTTTCACATTTAACCCTCACAACAGCCCTACTAGGCCAGTACAGTAGCTCCTCTTAACCAACTTCCACTAAACTGAGGCTCCTAATCCCTTCTGAGAAACATACTGACTGAGGCCTTGGCCTGTTCCACGATGTGCACCAGGTGAGCATCATCCAGCAACACCAAGAATAAGTTCCTAAATGGCTTAGAACAGGTGTATTTATTGCTATAATTGTGCATTAAATGTTACTTAAATCTGTAAAATTTGAGTGAAAAGAAAAGTATGGAACGTGACCTTGCTGTCCCTCCCCACCAAGAAGCGAAGTTGTTTCCCCCCTTATCCACCTTGAATCTGGACTTGGCCATGTGGTTTTCTTTGGCCAATGGAACACTTCCAAGTTCATAGTAGGATTTGTGTGAGAGAAGGGAGAATGCCCATCTCCTAAATCACAGATATCTCTGCTCTTAGGTAGCTCCGCAGGGGACTGCACAGTGGGCCACGTACAGGTGGGGTAGGGGACATGGATTCCCATCATACCAGACTAGGGAGAACAATTCGGATATTCCACTCACCATGAGGTAGTAAGGGACATTTATCTGCTTCAGGAGCTCAATGTTGTCTGTGGTCACTGAATGAATCCTGGAGCACCAGGCCAGTGAGAAGAGCCAAGGCTCATTGACAAGGTACAAGTTGATGGTGATGTTGGCTGCTTTATAATCTCTGGAACAGAAACAGAACCCACGGGGCTTTAGACTTAATCTTACCCTCATCATCTAAAAGGGGAACAGCCACCATGTTTGTTAAAGGTGGTTGTTTAAATCACCAGAAGCAGCTGGTCCTGAAACAAATCTGTGATATGGCATACAGAATGGGCTCATGTTGCAATGAGATAAAAGAATGGGTTTAAAACCTCTACTCAGACCAACAGTGGTGTGTTAGGAAACTGGATGGCCTAAGGGATAGTAAAGAAGGAAGAAAGAAAAGTAAAGCCCTATATGTAGTATTTGCTAATTTCCATGGTATAAATAATCCAACCATAGCCAATTTTAGCTACCATTGGTAAAACAGGTTTTCAGTTTCTGAATATTTAATAATAGGCTCCTACAAACTGGCAGGAGCCAGCTCCAGCACACCACTGAGGAGCAGCTATACTTACTTCCATCAGAACATTTACCACCCTTTCCTATGGGTCTTTTTCACTTGAGTATTAGCAAATTAAATGAAAGCAGTGTCTTATTCATCTTTGGATATCCAGTACATAGCATAATACTTACCTTCATAAGTAGTAATTGAAGGAATGAATAAATGAATTCCAATTTGATGAATATTCAAATTTCACACATAATGAACTTTTATAAAAATTGAGTAGAGGGAATGGAACCCAACTTTTCCCAATACATTAAATGCCAGTAGAGACCTGCACACTGTCTCCAGAGACAGGAAGAAAATAACTAGAGGAACATCTAGTAATTCTAATCAAGTTGTCATTTTCAAGGCTTAAAATTCTCAGAAAACACACCATGTAAGACCTTCAAAAAATTTTTTTAATCCTGAGATGGTACAGACTGTTAGAAACAGCTCTGTACAGCCTGGGCATGAATCCCACATCTGTCATATACAAGCTTGGCAAGTTCATAGGCTCTTTGTATCAAATGTAAAATAAAAACAGCACTGCTTTTGCAGGAGCGTTGTCCATTAGTTACCCAATATGTCTCTAAGACACTTCTACAGGTCACCTAAGGTAAATTAAAAAAAAAAAAACAGAAATAAGAAAACAGTAGTAAAAAGCTACCTTTTTGTTTTTTGAAACCAACACACAAAAACCAATCACATTTTTATTTGGCAGTAATGACCAGATAGAAACTAAAAATAAAAACACAGTACCATTAACAATCACTCCAAAGAAAAGTAAACATTTATCTTAACAAAGTGCAGGATCTATTAACTGAAAATACAAAACGTTGATGAAAGTAATCAAACATTTTAATAAACGGAGAGACATGTGTGTTCATGGATCGAAAGACTCGATATTGTAAAGATGTCAATTCCCCTAAATTGATTCACAGGCTTAATGCAATTCCCATCAAAATCTCAGCAAGGTTTTTTGTACAATTAGGTCAGCTGATTCTAAAATTTATATGGACAGGCACAACTCCCAAATAACAGAAACAATCCTGGAAAAGAAGATAAATTGAGAGAGAATCATTCTACCCAGTAGCTGTACGCATGACTCGGCAGAAAGAAGCACTAAGGGCTGATGCATGGAGCTGGGAAAGTGACTGGATAAAAGGGACAATACCCCCCTCTCTACTTCTGCGTGGGGACTATAGGGTCTGCCTTTAAAAGCAGAGCATGTGGAAAATGTGCACTTTTGCTCTCCCCTCCCCTGGCTGGTTGGTTGTATTCCCTGCACCCATCCCTGAGCACTCTGGGACCTGCCTGACCAGGAGCACTGTGGGCACTAGGCTGATAAGAGGGGACCCAAGGAGGCTCGGGGGATGGGGAGCAGCCTCGTGGATTCCCATCTGCCGCCTGAGCGCTCCTCTGCCAGGGACCCCTCCGTCAGGGGTCTGGTGATGGTGGCTCCTGCTGTGGCTTCTGCTCTGCCAGCTCCAGCCCAGGCAGGGCATCGGATCTACCCCACCAACCTGCAGGACGGGGCTTAGCAGACCGGCCAGTGGCAGTCCTGGAAGCTGTGTGGCAATGCAACGAGCCCCATGCCGCTGCCCGACACGGGAAGCTGCAGCGGTGCTGACGACTGGGGCTGTGCTGCACAGGTCCTGCCCAGCTGGGCACACTGACGCAGAGCAGGCCAGCCAGAGGAAAAGGACGGTGCGCTACAAGTAGGACACGGACGCACAGATCGAAGCCAGACAGCAAATGGAAACCAGCTAAGCCACTGCATTCTTAGAGGATGGTACATTCAGGTGGGAGAAGTTCCTGATGCAACCTTGAACTGAGCTGGCAGTGGCTGGCAGGGTGATTCTTTGAAGCGTTTTAAAAGAAACAAGCTTTGAGGCAGAAAACTGCCATTACTTCAAGTTGTTTGTACTTTAAATAAAGGGTTCCTTTTCCTTTCCACCAGACTCTGCCTCCAGAGATTTTGCCTATGGGTGGCGAGCAGGAGGACCCCATTGGCTGTTCTGGAACAGCACCAGGCTATCTGGTAACACTAGGATCACTGACTGATGCTTCTGATCAGAGAGGTACGACTAAAGAGAGAAGCCCTTGTTCCACCTCTTTCCACTGTTGCAGGACCCGCCCCCCCCCCGCCCCCCAACCAGCTGAAGTGACTTTCGTGATTTACAGGACCAGTGATCTTTCTTTCCCACCTTTCAGTTTTCTTTTTTCTCCTTTTGGGATCCAGATATTAAACACTAGGGCACAAAAGCAACTGCATACATAGGGAATATTACAAAGTGACTGTGTATGTCCAGGGAAAGGAACAGAAGGGACCTGAGAAGGTGTTTAAGTTTATACCTCAGGCTGGTCCTTGGCACAAAGGCAACCAACCAACAGACAAATAAATACATAACAAAAAACAGCAAACCCTGAGGAACAGGGAGAACAAAGGAAGAGGGAGAATCTGGAGTTACTAGATTATTAGATTCAAGGGTCCTATTTTTTCTTTAATCACAAAGTACCCCTGGCCAGTGTGGCTCAGTTGGTTGGGCATCATCCTGCAGACCTAAAGGTCATGGGTTTGATCCCCAGTCAGGGTACAGGTCTGGGTTGTGGGTTCAAGTCCCCAGCTGGGGCACATGCAAGAGGCACCCAATCGATGTTTCTCTCTCACATCCAATGTTCCTCTCCCTCTCTCCCCCTCTCTCTGGAAACAATAAAAGAAAAAAAAAATCACAAAGCAAACAAAGAAACAAGAAGGTAGGCCCCATTCAAGGGGGGAAAAACAACAGAAACTGTCCCTAAAAAAAGTCGATATATTAGACAATGACTTTATTTTTATTTATTTTTAGAGAGAGGGGAAAGGAGGGAGAAGGAAAAGGAGAGAAACATCATTGTGTGAGAGATACAGTGATCAGTTGCTTCTCACATGCCCCCAACTGGGGACCTGGCCTGCAACCCAGGCATGTGCCCTGACTGGGAATCGAACGGGCGACCCCTTGGTTCACAGGCTGGTGCTCAGTCCACTGAGCCATGCCAGCCAGAGGCTCTAGACAATGAGTTTAAAACAACCACTTTAAAGGTACTTAAAGAACTAAAGAAAGATGCAGATAAAGTAAAAAAAATAATAAGATGAACAAAGTGGCAATATTAATAAAAGGACAGAAAACCTAAAAAGAAACCAAAAGGAAGTTCTGGAGCTGAAAATACAGTACTGAAATGAAAATTTGACTTTTAGGATTCAAAGGAAAATTTGAGCAGTCAGAATAAAGAATCAGTGAATTTTAAGATAGAAGAATTAAAGTTAATGAGTCTGAAAAATAAAAAGATTAAAGAAAAGTGAACAGAGTCTGCGAGATCTGTTGTTTACCATTAAACAGACCAATACATGCATTGTTATAGTCTTGGAAGGAGAAGAGAGAAAAAATTAGAAAAAATATCTGAAGAAATAATGGCTGAAAACTTTCTAAGTTTGATGAAAGATGTGAATATAAACATCCAGGAAGCTCAGTGAATTCCAAGTAAGATGAATTTAAAGAGACTCACATGGCAACACATTTTAATCAAACTTTCAAAGACAAAGACAAAAAGAGAATCTTAAAAGCACCAGTAGAGAAGTGATTTGTCACATACAAAGGATCCCAGATAAAATCATTAGAGAAGTTCCCATGATAAACTTTGAAGGCCAGAAGGCAGTAGACCCACATATTCAAAGTGTTAAAAAACTGTCAACTGAGAGTCCTATATCCAGCGACACTGTTTTTCAAAACTGAAGGGAAAACTGATAAATTCCTAGATAGACTAAAACGGAGGGAGTTCATGGACACTAGATATGCCCCACAAGAAAAGTCAAGGGAGTCCTGCAAAGTGAAATGAAGAGAGGCTAACTAAATAGTGACTCAAAACTGTATGGAGAAATAAAGATTTCAATAGAAGTAAGTACAGGGACAATTATATTTGGTATTGTAACAATGGATTGTACATATACTCTTCCTTTTCTACATGATTAAGAGACTAATACATCTAAAGAAAAAAATAACTATTACTCTAAAAGCTAGCATTATTTTAATTTCGGTTTTTAACTCCACATGTTGTTTTCTATATAATTTAAAAGACTAATGAATTTTAAAATGATTAATTTATGTTTTGGGGATATATAATGTGTAAAGATATATTTTTATGGGAGCAACAAATGAAAAGGATAGGAATAGAGCTGTAAAAAAATCAACAGAGTCTTGTATGTTATTGGAGTTAAGCTGGTATAAATTAGAAAAAAGTTATAACTTCAGAATGTTAAATGTAGTTCCCATGGTAACCACAAAGAAAATAGGGATAGAATATACACAAAAGGAGAAAAGGATTGAAATGTTTCAGTACCAAAAAATCAACTAAAAACAAGAAAACAGTAATGCAGAAAATAAGGGACAGATTACAAAGCACATAGAAATAACAAAATAACAAAATGTCAGGAGATGGAAACAAAATAACAAATATTTGCAGAAATGACTGAAGTAAAAAAAATGACAAAAGTGCCTTCTCATCAGTAATTATTTTTTAAATGGGTTAAAGACAAATTTAATGAATGGATAAAAACACAT